ATTCAGTGCTGGAGGTGCCTGAACTGCGTTCCCCCGTGTTGCCGCTGAAAAAAATCCCTGGTCCTGACCACTGCAGACTGGTAACATCCTACATGAGCTGCAGATTTTGGAGTTGCTCTGACCCAGTTGTCTAGCCGTTACAATTTGGCCTTCTCCAAAGTCACTCCAATTCTCACTCGTTCATTTTTTTCTGCTTTCAACATATCAACTTCAGGGCAGGGGCGGACTGACCATTTGGAAACTCGGACACTGCCCTAGGGCCTGGGGTCAGTATGGGGCCCCACGAGATGCCCCTGGTACCTTTCATAGGCTTTTTTGGGTCTGGTTTGAGTGTGGGCAAGGACACAGGGGCCCCATGATCCCCTACTGCCGGGGGGCCCCATGAGTTGTCAGTCCGCCCCTGCTTCAGGGAAAACATGTTCACTTTCTGTCTAATATATCCCACCCACTTTCAGATGCCATTGTAACAAGGTAACCAATGTTATTCGCTTTACCTGTCAGCTGTCATAATGTTATGGCTGATCTGTGTAAAACAAAAAGAAGTTTCTGCAGAATAAAGAAATGAGCAAAATAATGTATATACCATATTCCCCCCCCCCCCCCCCCCCCAATGGGGGGGAAATGTCTGTGCATCTTATGGAGCGGCTGGCCCGGAATTCCCCCCCCCCGTGTTAGAATACCAGGCCGGCCGCTCGGCTCTTCTCTGCAGACCTCCAGCGGTCCTACCTGGTCCTTAGTCCACAGTGTCCTCAGTCTTCTCTCACCAGTGCTGGCATGGGCACCGGCTGTGACAGCTTGCAGTCTCTGGTCATCTCCTGTACTATGTCTGCAGTCTCTGGTCATCTCCTGTACTATGTCTGCAGTCTCTGGTAATCTCCTGTATTATGTCTGCAGTCTCTGGTAATCTCCTGTACTATGTCCGCAGTCTCTGGTCATCTCCTGTACTGTGTCCGCAGTCTCTGGTCATCTCCTGTACTGTGTCCGCAGTCTCTGGTCATCTCCTGTACTGTGTCCACAGTCTCTGGTCATCTCCTGTACTATGTCCGCAGTCTCCGGTCATCCCCTGTACTGTGTCTGCAGTCTCTGGTCATCTCCTGTACTGTGTCCGCAGTCTCTGGTCATCTCCTGCACTGTGTCCGCAGTCTCTGGTCATCCTCTGTACTGTGTCCGCAGTCTCTGGTCATCCTCTGTACTATGTCCGCAGTCTCTGGTCATCTCCTGTACTATGTCCGCAGTCTCTGGTCATCTCCTGTACTATGTCCGCAGTCTCTGGTCATCTCCTGCACTGTGTCCGCAGTCTCTGGTCATCCTCTGTACTATGTCCGCAGTCTCTGGTCATCCTCTGTACTGTGTTTGCAGTCTCTGGTCATCTCTGTACTATGTCTGCTGCAGTCTCTGGTCATCTCCTGTACTGTGTCCACAGTCTCTGGTCATCTCCTGTACTATGTCCACAGTCTCTGGTCATCTCCTGTACTGTGTCCGCAGTCTCTGGTCATCTCCTGTACTATGTCCACAGTCTCTGGTCATCTCCTGTACTGTGTCTGCAGTCCATTGGTTCAGAATATTTTTTTTCCTGTTGTTCTCCTCTGAAATCTAGGTGCATCTTATGGTCAGGTGCGTCTTATGGAGCGAAAAATACGGTAGGTCAGCAGAAATGGATTTTATTTTTCTTAAAAAAATCTTTTTTTTCTTATTATTCTATTAATGTATATTGAAATATACTATATATGGAAAAAAGACATGATGGATGCACAGAGCAAACGGAATGCCATCCTGTTAGGGTTTACATTTCTTTAAATTCTTGGAGCAAGGTGAGCAGAAATGATCACACCCAATTTTTTTTTTTTTTTTTTTTTTAGAACGAGGACATCCAATGTTCAGGTTGTCTGTCATCTTACATAATGCAATTATTTTCTAATAAAATGAATTCTTTGTTTCTTCTTGAAGCGTTGATGTCTCTTCTCGCATCAAATATAACTGCAGCAACCTGGGAGATATTTGCACGATTCATCGACTTGCCACGTTGCGATCTGAAATACCTCTTACCATTGTACTGATCTCTTTATATATAAATATAATAATGAACACATTTCCATTCTCCTCTTACCCCTTTGAGATGTCATTGTTCGACGCTCAGGTCCCACGCACCGTTTTATTTCTGTATATGCGGAGCTGGTGTTATATCCAACCCAATTATCCAGGAAAACAATTCCAACCTGCCCCAGGGACCTTCATAAAAAAATAAATTTTTAAAGACGAGTAGATGATTTTTGTTAGCTTGTGGAATAATTTAAAACTGATAAATGACGCCACGGTTGGCTGGTACCTCAGAAAGACCATTTCCCCCCCCCCACCCCACCCTATGTGCGCTACTTTATAGGGTCACCAAAAAAAGGCTCATTAAAGCACAATCAGCTTCCTGAGGACACACCAAACCGTGACATATGTAGAGCACGGGTGTCAAACTGGTGGCCCTCCAGCTGTTGCCAAACTACAAGTCCCATGAGGCATTGTAAGATTGACAGTTACAAGCATGAGTCCCAAAGGCAGAGGCATGATGGGACTTGTAGGTCTGCAACAGCTGGAGGGCCGCCAGTTTGACACCCCTGCTGTAGAGGATGTTTACACGGTCACCTCATCTGGTTTGGTACTGATGTTACTTCCGGTTTCCAAGAATTTCAACATACGCCAAGCTCTAGGGAGTGGATTGGCGGTGCACAATGCCTAGTGCATTGGTGCCGAGATATTGGGTACCTTTTTCTGTAAATGTAATACCTACAATTTATGTTTACATTGAATAATTTAAATCTGATAAATGATGCCACGGTTGGCTGGTACCTAAGAAAGACCATTTCCCCCCACCCCACCCCCACCCTATGTGCACTACTTTATAGGGTCACCAAGAGAAAGGCTCACTAAAGCACAATCATGGACTGGCCAGCAATGGTGGGGACTCACCTGCCTTTTGATCTGCAGTACCAGGGCTGGCCAGCGGGTGCTCCCAGCAATCAGAGACTCAACCTTTCAGCCAGCTAACACCTGGAACTGATGATGCTGGGGTATTTAAGGGATGGCCAGACCCACAGACTCTGCCTTGGTGTTGTGTTTGTCCTGGGCCCTGTATCTGTCCTGCATCCTGTTTCTGTCCCTCTGCCTGACCCTCTGTACTACGCTGCTTGTTACCTGTTTTGATCTCTGGCTTGTGACCCTGACCATCCCTCTGCCTGACCCTCTGTACTACGCTGCTTGCTACCTGCTGAACCTGGCCTGTGACCCCGACCATTCTCTGCTTGCTCCCCCTGTACCTACCTGCCCAATTGATATTGACCCGGCCTGCCTGACGACGCTTGCTTGTATGTACTGTTATCTGTGGGTGATTGGTTGGGTTTGTTTGCACTGTATTATGTTTAGTATTGCACTGCGTTTATGTTTGTATGGTTAGTGTTAATAAATTGTATTGTTTATCACATATCTGAAGTCTGCGTTTCCCTGCATCAGTCACACACCTCTGGTCATACCTGGGAGCCCTGACATTACACCAAGGCCAATCCTGACCAGAAGTGGCTGCACAGGGAAGCCATCTTGGCTTGTTGATGGGAAGGATGGATCTTGATGAGGTTGAATATTTATATCTGCTAGTGTTTGATGACAGGGAGTATGCTTATCAAACTGAAGGAGTATCCCCGGGATGAACTGCTAGAATGTATACGGCTCGCTCATGTTCTAGTAGATCAGGGCACAGAGTTCTCTGAGGTGCAGCCTTTGATTGAGGTTTGTGCTGAGTTGGTTTCATCTGGTTCCCCCGAATGCAGGGATGAATTTTTGCCACCATTTAGTGCAGACCAGGTAGAGTCCCTGGTGTGGTTATTAGAGGATGATGTGGGTTACTTTCTGGAGCGTTATTCCACATGTTCACCACAGACACTAAGAGATTGTATAAACGCAGTGCAGTCTTTGACCAGACAGGCTTTGTGTAAGCTCAGCTTTGTTCAACCCATACTGCAGACATGGACAGACTTGTTGCACCCAGCCTCAGTCAGCTTACAAAGACCCAGTCCTGCTTCTAATCTATTTCCTCAAAACTCTATTCCTGCATTCCCAACAGCTCCTCCTGCCCTGCTATCTACCGCATGTCAGTACCCTGTTCCCACTCGCTGCACCTATCCTGCTTTGCCTTTAACCCTGTAAAAGAGCCCTCTGTAGCAACTGCTCCCCTCTCCTGTTCCATCCTCCAGTTCTTCTCTGTCTCCAGCTGCTCCATTCGTTTGCAGACCTGCGTTTACTTGCAGTGCTCCAGTAGTTAAAACCAGAAAAAAGCGAAAAATTCTTTCCAACCAATACCATCCTGCCAGTATCCAAACCGGTGAGCCTGCCTTCCGTGGTTCAGCCTGAAGCCTCTACTCAGCCTGAAGCCTCTACTCAGCCTGAAGCCTCTACTCAGCCTGAAGCCTCTACTCAGCCTGAAGCCTCTACTCAGCCTGATGCCTCTACTCAGCCTGATGCCTGCCTACTCAGCCTGATGCCTCTACTCAGCCTGATGCCTCTACTCAGCCTGATGCCTCTCTCAGCCTGATGCCTCTCTTCAGCCTGATGCCTCTACTCAGCCTGATGCCCTCTCTTCAGCCTGATGCCCTACGCAGCCTGATGCCTCTCTCAGCCTGATGCCTTATCAGCCTGATGCAGCCTGATGCCTCTATGCAGCCTGATGCCTCTCTGCCTGATGCCTCTATCGGCCTGATGCCCTCTACTCGGCCTGATGCCTCTACTCGGCCTGATGCCTCTACTGCCTCTACTCGGCCTGATGCCTCTACTCGGCCTGAAGCCTCTACTCGGCCTGAAGCCTCTACTCGGCCTGAAGCCTCTACTCGGCCTGAAGCCTCTACTCGGCCTGAAGCCTCTACTCGGCCTGAAGCCTCTACTCGGCCGAAGCCTGAAGCCGGCATTCAGCCTGATGCCTCTACCCAGCATGATGAACTGATCCAGCCTGACGATCCTATTAGGCCAGTTGACTCGATGCCCGCTGTTGATCCAGATGATCCGGTACCTGATCCGGTGCCCGCTGTCGAGCCAAATGACCTGATGCCTGGTGACCCAGTGCCCGCTGTCATACCTGGTGACCCGATGCCCGCTGTCGAGCCAGACAATCCGGTACCTGATGACCCGGTGCTCACTGTCGTGCCTGTTGACTCGGAGCCCACTGCCTTGCCAGATGACGCGGTGCCCGCTGTCGAGCCAAATGACCTGATGCCTGGTGACCCAGTGCCCGCTGTCCAGCCAGACGATCCAATGTCTGACCCAGTGCCCGCGGTCATACCAGTTGACTCGGAGCCCACTGCCTTGCCAGATGACGCGGTGCCCGCTGTCGAGCCAAATGACCTGATGCCTGGTGACCCGATGCCCGCTGTCCAGCCAGACGATCCAATGTCTGACCCAGTGCCAGCGGTCATCCCAGTTGACTCGGAGCCCACGGTTGTGCCTGGTGACTCGGTGCCCCCCGCCGCCCCGCCTGGGGGCCTGAGACCTGTCGTTCCGCCTGGGGGTCCGGCGCCCGCCGCTCCGCCTGAGGGCCCGAGACCTGTCGCTCCGCCTGGGGGTCCGGCGCCCGCCGCTCCGCCTGAGGGCCCGAGACCTGTCGCTCCACCTGGGGGTCCGGCGCCCGCCGCTCCGCCTGAGGGCCCGAGACCTGTCGTCGCTCCACCTGGGGATCCGGCGCCCGCCGCTCCGCCTGAGGGCCCGAGACCTGTCGCTCCTCCTGGGGGTCCGGCGCCCGCCGCTCCGCCTGAGGGCCCGAGACCTGTCGCTCTGCCTGGGGGTCCGGCGCCCGCCGCTCCGCCTGAGGGCCCGAGACCTGTCGCTCCATCTGGGGGTCCGGCGCCCGCCGCTCCGCCTGAGGGCCCGAGACCTGTCGCTCCACCTGGGGGTCCGGCGCCCGCCCCGCTCCGCCTGAGGGCCCGAGACCTGTCGCTCCATCTGGGGGGTCCGGCGCCCACCGCTCCGCCTGGGGGCCCGAGACCTGTCGCCCCGCCTGGGGGCACGATGCCTGTCGCCCCGCCTGGGGGCACGGTGCCTGTCGCCCCGCCTGGGGGCACGGTGCCTGTCGCCGCCGCCTGGGGGCCCGGTGCCTGTCGCCCGCCCCCTGGGGGCACGGTGCCTGTCGCCCCGCCCGGGGGCCCGGTGCCTGCCCTGCTGCCTGCTGCCCGCTCCGGGGGGGCCCGGTGCCCGCCGGTGCTGCTGCCCCGCCCCGGTGCCCCTGCTGCCCGCCTGTGCCCCGCCCGGGGGCCCGGTGCCCTGCCTGCTCCGCCCGGGGGCCCGGTGCCTGCTGCTCCGCCCGGGGGCCCGGTGCCTGCTGCTCCGCCCGGGGGCCCGGTGCCTGCTGCTTCGCCTGGTAATCCGATGTGCCTCTGCCCGGAGTCCTGCCCGATGTGCCTCTGCCCGATGTGCCTCTGCCCGATGTGCCTCTGCCCGGAGTGCCCTGCCCGATGTGCCTCTGCCCGGAGTCCTGCCCGGTGTGCCTCTGCCCGGTGTGCCTCTGCCCGGAGTCCAGCCCGGTGTGCCAGTCTTTGATATCCCGCCAGTTACCAGACCCGGGCGGTGGAACATTTTGCCCAGCTAGGACTGTTTTGGAGCGTCCTGAGGCCGCTGCTTGGGGGGGGGGGGGTACTGTTAGGAATGGACTGGCCAGCAATGGTGGGACTCACCTGCCTTTTGATCTGCAGTACCAGGGCTGGCCAGCGGGTGCTCCCAGCAATCAGAGACTCAACCTTTCAGCCAGCTAACACCTGGAACTGATGATGCTGGGGTATTTAAGGGATGGCCAGACCCACAGACTCTGCCTTGGTGTTGTGTTTGTCCTGGGCCCTGTATCTGTCCTGCATCCTGTTTCTGTCCCTCTGCCTGACCCTCTGTACTACGCTGCTTGTTACCTGTTTTGATCTCTGGCTTGTGACCCTGACCATCCCTCTGCCTGACCCTCTGTACTACGCTGCTTGCTACCTGCTGAACCTGGCCTGTGACCCCGACCATTCTCTGCTTGCTCCCCCTGTACCTACCTGCCCAATTGATATTGACCCGGCCTGCCTGACGACGCTTGCTTGTATGTACTGTTATCTGTGGGTGATTGGTTGGGTTTGTTTGCACTGTAGTATGTTTAGTATTGCACTGCGTTTATGTTTGTATGGTTAGTGTTAATAAATTGTATTGTTTATCACATATCTGAAGTCTGCGTTTCCCCCCCTGCATCAGTCACACACCTCTGGTCATACCTGGGAGCCCTGACACTTAGTGCATTGGTGCCGAGATATTGGGTACCTTTTTCTGTAAGTGTAACATCAACAATTTAGCTTTCCCCTTTGATGATGTGCGACTAGCACGAAACGCGTCAGTGAAGGAGCTACAGCGTCACTATCTCTCTGCCGCCGGCACAATGGAGGTCCCGGCGGCCATCTTTTAAATTCACCTCATGGTCAGTGTGTTTTTTTTTTCCCTTTACCTGTATACTGTATGGAAATAAAATCCAAACCTTTTTGAAACGGTATCACGCTATTGGTCTCCTTTGTTTGTGGCCCTTGGTGAGTCACTTATCACCTATAGAGCCACCTAAAGGAGAGACCGTGGATTGTCAGCAATACAACAGGGGAAGGAATATCTGGCCTGACCTGACCTTTAAGAAATAATCGGTGGATTTGGAAAAGAGTTCATCTTTAAATGCGCAGTTAAACTGTGCATCTGGTGAGTCACAGCTTTACCTTTTCACTATCACCGCGTGGAAGAAGCAGGGATTGTCACTAAGACTGTTTTGCACTGCATGTCACTCTGTTTGTGACAGAATATTTGTGGTTTTTTATTAGTCACCTAATCATCACATATACCTTGGATGTTTCAGCATAATTATAGTTGTGATATAGCGCCGCATCTTTTTATATTCATCAACAATTTATGTTTACATTGAATATTTTAAAACTGATAAATGACGCCACGGTTGGATGGTACCTAAGAAAGACCATTTCCCCCCCCACCCCCACCCTATGTGCACTACTTTATAGAGTCACCAAAAGAAAGGCTCATTAAAGCACAATCAGCTTCCTGAGGACACCAAACTGTGAAACATGTAGAGCACGGGTGTCAAACTGACGGCCCTCCAGCTGTTGCCAAACTACAAGTCCCATGAGGCATTGCAAGATTGACAGTTACAAGCATGAGTCCCAAAGGCAGAGGCATGATGGGACTTGTAGTTTCACAACAGCTGGAGGGCCGCCAGTTTGACGCCCCTGATGTAGAGGATGTTTACACGGTCATCACATCCAGTAGAGTACAGATGTCACTTCTGCTTTCCAGGGATTGGAACAAACACCAAGCTCTAGAAAGAGGAGCGGCGGTGCACAACGCTTAGTGCATTGGTCCTGAGATATTGGGTACCTTTTTCTGTAAATGTAATACCTGTAATTTATGTTAACATTGAATAATTTAAAACTGATAATTGACACCACGTTTGGCTGGTACCTAAGAAAGACCATTTCCCCCACCCCCACCCTATGTGCACTACTTTATAGAGTCACCAATAGAAAGGCTCACTGAAGCACAATCAGCTTCCTGAGGATGCCAAACCACATCCGGTGTATTATTGATGTCACTTCCAGTTTCCAGGGATTGGAACATACGCCAAGCTCTAGGGAGTGGAGCGGCAATCCACAACGCCTAGTGCATTGGTGCCGAGATATTGGGTACCTTTTTCTGTAAATGTAATACCTACAATTTATGTTTAAATTGAATAATTTAAAACTGATAAATGACACCACGGCTGGCTGGTACCTAAGAAAAACCATTTTCCCCCACCCCCACCCTATGTGCACTACTTTATAGAGTTACTAAGAGACTCACTGAAGCACAATCAGCTTCCTGATTGTGGGTTGGTAGCTGCTCAGGCTTTACGCTGGGCTGGTTTGTTCCCTGTTGCACAGGAGACTTTGGGCAGTGGAGATCCATTTTTCCAGCATCCTGCCTGTAGGAAAGATCATGCTCCACACTAGCCGTTTCACCCAACTCCAACTACTCCTCTGCTGCATAGGCTCTGCCACATTTAAGGGTTGCCCTTGGCCACCATGCCCGGCTTCCTTCTTGGGATTTGGCTAAGGTCCCTCAAACATACAAATCTCAGCCTCTTCCACTCTTTTGCCCCTCTTCCAAAAAGTTCTAGCAGTTTCTGGAAAGGCGGGAAGGCTCCAGCATCCCTGAGCTGTAGAACCTTACAGACTGTCCTGAGGTGAACTCTTTACCTACCTCCCAGGCTGACTCATCCCAGGCTGATACCCAGCCTCTGTCTAACAAAACAACAAACGCCTATCACTAGACGGTGCTGCATAGAATTTTCAGCATTCCCTAATGGTTCCAAAACACATTGACAAAAAGGCCTTCTAAATAATGGTTTTGCTCCTTCAAAGTATTGGTTCTTGTGATACAGTTGACCAGGGACAATGGCTATGTGCTACATTATAGGTTGTTAATGATTTCTGGTGGCGAACCAGCAACGTTTTCAGCCAAGAGTTCATGGTTCATAAATCCCAGGGATACTCTGCAAGCCCATAGATGCAACAAATCTGAACCTCATCTCTACTTGTAAAATATATGCATTGGAAGATGTTAGCTATCATGTCATTGTCCTGAGGTCATTGAAGTCTAGTAGGGTTGAGCTCCATCATGTTCCTAGTCCAAACCCAACTGAACGAACCTGACAGGAAGCTGTCATTTGTACTGTGTCAATCATCTGTGACTGAGGCATCCTTTACCCTGCATGTGGTATGTATACATGTGGCTGTGGAGTGAGGAATGCCTCAGCTGCTTTTGATAGGTTGCCTAATGCCTAGATACCCAGAACAAAGTTAGCTACATCAGCAGTGTGTCAATGAAAGTGTGTGTTCGCCTTTTCACAAAAAATTAAAGAGGTGAACTAACACCCTACTACACCCTGCCCAACACCCTAGTATCCACTCCACTTCCCACCATGGGTGATGAGCTGTCAGTGCTTACACAGCCAGTGTAGCGGTACAAGGATTTGAAATCCCCGCACTTCTGGGATGGATTAAAAGTTAATCTGTTTGGTCAGCACTTTTATGTGATTGCTGTGACCAATTGGAATTGCTCTGATCCATCCAGCAATCACTACAAAAAGAAGGGGGGATTTCAGATCCCTGGACTGCTGTCAGGAATGGATTCACCACTGGAAGTGGGACTCACCTGGTGTGGCCTGCAGTACCAGGGCTGGCCAGCGGGTGCTCTCAGCAGCCAAAAGCTCACTCCTGCAATCAAGCCATCACCTGAGGCTGATTGCAGGAGGTGTATTTAAGGAATGGCCAGGCCTGCAGTCAGAGCCTTGGTGTATTGTTCCCATGTACCTGCATCCTGTCTGCTTCCTGCCTGATCCTGACTTTGCTTTGATCCTGACTTTGCTTTGATCCTGACTTTGCACGAACTCTGCATGTACCGACCTCGGCTATTCCTGACCA